CCCCCCCCCCCCCACCGTCCAGTAGCTGAGTCTACTCTGAAGGTCTTGTAACGTAAGCATACATGCTGGATGAAGTTACAACCGACTAAGCTACGTTAGTCCGCGGGCCGCCGTGCCTGGTCGTATTCGTACATGGTAAGATAGCCTTGCTCTCTTTGCGTAGGCAGTCCTACTGTACGTGTGTCGCTATACATTTTGATCGTCTTGTGCAATTTTGTGTTGTTCTTCCGAGTCTCATCCTCGCCCATCCATGCGGCGACGTGGTTATTTGGACTGCGACCCACATTACATTATTATTACACGGTTCTTTAGTGTCACAACCCATGTTCTTGGCTGGAAATTATTCTGTGTGTTGGAAAAAATTGAGGGACAAATAAGCCCTTTCGGCATCGCACCGTCGACGGTCAGGCTACAACTGTCCCAGCAAAACGGCTCCTGAGATCACCGTGGAATTCTTTTATCCCTTTCACTTCGCATAACCCTCTCCCGTCTGACCCCCCCNCTCCCGTCTGCCCCCCCCCCCGCCCTCCCTGTTCGTCGGACCCCCTGTCATTTCGTTTTCTTCACACGGGATGGCTGGCAACTATGGTCACCACGAAAAAAAAACATCAGACGGCGGAAGAGGTGGTTGTGTTCGAGCAGCAAGACATCACGGAAGCCTCGGTCGTCCAGGCCGACGGCAGCACGACCCTATCCTTCATCAGACCCCTGTCTCCGGGGGGCAACAAGCAGAACATCTCGTACGAAGCGGGCGACACGACCAAGTTCATCTTCGGCCAGGGCGCGGACAACGACCTCGGCGTCATCAGCGACGTGACGTGGTCGGGGATGAGGGTGGACCTCTACTGCGGCACCGGCGGCATCGCCGCCCTCGCCCGAACACCGGCCCCGACCGTCGTCGGCGGGGGTACCGGGGAAACCCCGGCGCCTGTCGCGGCGGTGGCGGACGGGGAGACCCCGGCGCCTGTCGCGGCGGTGGCGGACGGGGAGACCCCGGCGCCTGTCGCGGCGGTGGCGGACGGGGAGACCCCGGCGCCTGTCGCGGCGGTGGCGGACGGGGAGACCCCGGCGCCTGTCGCGGCGGTGGCGGACGGGGAGACCCCGGCGCCTGTCGCGGCGGTGGCGGACGGGGAGACCCCGGCGCCTGTCGCGGCGGTGGCGGACGGGGAGACCCCGGCGCCTGTCGCGGCGGTGGCGGACGGGGAGACCCCGGCGCCTGTCGCGGCGGTGGCGGACGGCGAGACGCCCGCGCCTACCCCGGCTGATGGCGACCGGGGGATCACGACCACCGACGGGGAGACCGCCGCGCCCACCGTAGAAGCCGACGGAGTGCCGACAACGGAGGGCCCAACAACCGTGGACGAGGCTGACGGCCAGGGGGACGCAGACGGCGCGTTCCACGCAGCCGCTGGGGCCGGGTGGGCGGCGATGGCGGCGGCAGCGACTGGCGTAGCGACGGTGCTGGCCGCCTTGTCGCTGTAACCAACCGGCGTCGTGCAGGTTTAAGAACATGCGTGCCTATCGTTGCTCTTGAGGGGCAGCGTGGTGCGGATCCTAGGAGCTCCGGGGGGTCTTCCTGCCCTCGAAGAAGATTGTTGCCGCGTGTGTGCTTTACCAACCGAACGAAGTAGATAATAGAGGAGTGTCTCGTGGAACGTCTGCGACGTTGCTTGGCTCGATGTGCAGCCAGTGTTGGGTTGGGTTGTCAGTGTTCCTGGTCATTGGGAGGAAAGGGATAAGTGGTGGATGTGTCACGCGGGCAGCTGACTCTGGTCGCCTTAGCCCTTGCCACAGCGCCGGTGGGGTGAGATCAATCAAGACCGCTGCGGTTCTTCACGATTCGTACCGTCTTTAAATCTGTTTGTTTCTTTCGTGTTTTGCGCCGCTCGTCTTTTTGGGTGGGTTCGATGACTGCGTCTAGCGACCGGGCGCGCCCATGCGTTTACCGGAAAGTCGATAGTGTTGGTGCACTGTGACGCTGCACGCGTAAACCGCAACCCTCTCTTTTTGCCCCTTTGCTTTTTTTTTCCTCATCAGTAGATCGTTCCTCCCCGTTATACTGATGTCTCGTCTCGTAATTGTGTCTGGAGTCTCGACCTTCTAGTCTGCGACCTCGGATCTTCGAGATGACCATCGGTGTTTTTGCTTGTCCCATCACTCGTAGGTCTAGAAGCAGGCCGGGTAGTCCCCCTTGAGATTGTCACGTGCCTTTGTCACTTGACTTCTTGACCACACATCCCGTATTGATACGGTACCATGATCTTGTGCTGGACTAAATCTGGTGCTTCGCATGTATACTGAGAACACAGCAGCAGTGTTGTGGTGGGGAAGGGCCTCTTTTGTTCTTGGCGTCCGGCTCTTTGGATGGATTTGTAGAGGTCCGTATATTTGGTCCTGACTAGCAATTCGCGGTAATCTCGTCGAGGTCTGCTTGCTCGTAGATCTGGGGATGATAAGATTTGATTATCGCTGTACTGTAGGTTTCTTTTGTTCGTGTTCGTACACATCGCGAGGCGGTTACAGATTGCAGATGCCGGGAAACCTTGACCCGCACTAATAGACTGTAGCTTGTAGTTTAAGTGCCGATACCGTTTTCCTTCTTTGTCAGCTGCACCCGGGAACGGCGGGCAGCGGATCGGAGACAGGCGCTAACAACACGCACACGGTGAATCCTTTGATTGAGTTGTCCCGCTCGTTGGGCCTTCGAACTTACTGTTGGGCGTTTTGTTCTTCTTGAATGTGTCCCGACAGGTTGAAGAGAGTGACTGCCTTGATACCGCAACAGCGGGGAGCAATTATGTAGAATAGATCAAAATTGATAAAAAAAAAAATGTTGAGATTGAGGAATATTCGCTTATACATAATAGTAGTGACCATCTGTACACCAAATGACATCATGTGTTGTCAACGTCAACGTTTCGTGCTTGAGTTGAGGTGAACAGCCTGATGCGTCAGCAATTAATTGAATTGAACAAAGCGGTGCTACAGCGGTACATGACTTCCCCATGTTCTGTCTCGTACTTGCGAGCGGGCCGGCATTTGTGACTGGGTGTACTTTGGTTGTGTATCCAAAGAAGTAACCGGAAGTCACACGAAGATACCACACCCCCTGGACCGATTTTGAAAGGGAAGGAGCGGCGGTGCCGAAGAGGCTGTCTCGGAACCGTCTCGTCGAAATCTTTCCAAAAGCGACTCTTTCGATTTGGGATCCTAGGAGATACAAATATTCGTGCATACCTACTGACACACCGGTCGCCCCGGTGGTCTAGTGGGTAGCCTCGCAGTCTGCTGAGGGCCAGGTCATGGGTTCGAGTCCCGGCGGAGAATGTTTTTTTCTCACTACATAAATCCTGGTCTAGGATGAAAGCGACGCGCTGCAAAGCTCGGTTGTTAGTAAACCATAGTCGACTTCGTAAGTCGCAGGGGAAGGGATTGCTGTACCCTTCTCGCGACAAAAATACCTTATCATGCATGAACCGCAGGAGGGGGTCCAACCCCGCCCTCCTATGTGACCCCGGTTGGGTCGTGGGTCGTCTAGCTAGTAGAAGTGGAGGATAGGGGCCAGAGGGGCAGACGACAGAGTCCAATGACGGGAGAAAAACAACAAAACAACAACTGCCGAGGAGGGTGGTATCTCGTGTCACCCGCTGCAGCACAGCAGTAGTTCGATATGACGGAGGCGTATGTACATACTTTTTCAGCTTGATTGTGGAGTGCATGGCAGGGCGTAGGGCCACACAGGGTCAACCCCTTCATCATTTTTCGGACAAGAGTGTTACAACACGTTCAAGGGTAACGTCACCATCCGTCATGATGACGACGATGATGTGTACTTCTACTTACTGTCGACTCTTTGCCCTGCAGAAAAACAGAGAAAATGTTCCGATAATATACCGTATGTGACACAAGATAACCCACCCTATTGACCAATTTTCGAAGCTCGATTCCTCAATTGCAAGAACAGTCACAGCACCGACAAAGGCGGCGCTGAAATTTTCTCTTCGAGAGCTTTTCGAAAATGTATCGTTTCGTTTATTCATCCTCTTCGTCGTGGAGTAATCGAGCTTTGAAAATCGGTCCAGGGAGGGTGTTATATTGTGTCACATACGATAGTATCTCCGATTATCTTCGATCGTAGAACCGAACGCTCGGTACACACCCAGACAGCTGGCCACTTACCACGAGACGCTCTCTCGCCCGCACCCGCCTCCTCCCGACCCTCTCGAGCCGCACCAGCTCAACAGATCCTCGAGATGAGCTCATCATCATCGATCAAGGCGTCTGCGCTGCTGCTGTTGGCAGCGGCGCAGGTCGGGTGCGGTCAGAATTTGACTTCTTGTGAGCCATCGACCAATGGTGCCTTCGACTACCAGGTGCGAAAGATATCAGAACTTTCACCTTGCGGCCGGCCCGGGCCTCACACGATAGCGTGTTGTGTGCGTAGTAGGTGCCGTTGTAGCCCCCCTGCCGCCGGAGTGTACTGTGGATCTCTGATGAGCAGTCGTCTTGGACGGCAAGTTATTTATTATTCCCCTATATCGAGTCGGCCTTTTTGGCCTACAGCAGTAGTAGACGATGGATGGATCGTGTCGTCCGTCGGCGCTCTACAAATTACATGTAGAGCGACAGGTGTAGATCCCCGGCTGCATATATTTTACGAAGCCTCGACGACATAGACAGCAGGCCCACTCCCCTCTTTTGGTACTGAGCCTGTGCTTTGGCCACTTAAGTACTGCTGTAGACAGAGAAGGCAGCAAGCAGGTGGGAAAAGAGCGGGCAGGAAGCGGGCGGAAAAAAACTATTCGTGGTGGAATACTCCGCATCTTGCTTGTTTTTGCTGATGGGGATCCAGACTTGTGGCACACAGCAGCAGCTGGCGCGGATGCCTATTGTCCCCGTTAAACCAACCCTGCGGCTCGTCGCCATGTGTGTTGCCGCTTGTATTTTAGGACAGGTCACGCCAACGGATGGATTCGAAGTGCACTGGTCGGTGGATACCGTTGCTGAGACGATATCTATCGAGGTGAGTTGAGGTTCGTCCACGCCCCAAGAGGATTCGTTCGCGTAGCCAGCCCACTCGACGCCCGTTGCTCACTCAGACCTTTCTAACGCCCTACACCATACCTACACTCGGGGGTCTACAGCGGACTTTCGAACGCCCTATACCATACACATACACTCCCTGTAGGGCCCACAGCGGATCGCTTGCTGTGCGATTACGTGACCCGGCCGCCGGTATTTCTTGCTTCCTTTCGGTCAACCAACCGAATCCGAATCTTCCCGTTGAAAACATACATCTGAGTGTGGTCCACAAGCAGAAGATATGACGCACCTGTATGATGGCAATTATCTCCGTACATACGTGCCATGCCGCTGTGCGATCCCATTCCCGATCCCCGCAACCGCCAGATTCCGTTCGCTCAATACAGCAGTAGGGGCCCCCATATAAACAACCCCGGTAGCCCGGCGCATCGACCGCCTCTATTCAACGTACAGAATGACTCGGTGATGCAATCAGTACCCAGCAATTTCACCGGCTCTATCCAGGGCCACCGGCGCTAATCGACCGGCCTGAGTGACGCCACCCTGTTCCTGTACTACACTTCTGTTCTTCTCTCGCTCTGGGCCTTTTGTTCCTTTGTGACTAACTGTTGTAGACTCAATTGGAAAAGTGACATCTCCTCATATATTACTTTAAGCTAATGTGCGGCGTCCATCCATTCACCCGCCGAAGATTTTTTCATCGAAGAGGGGCTCGGCGAAATTCGAGGATCTTTAGCCCGTGTTGCCGCTTTTCAATTCCACCGCGCCCTTGAACATAAAACACTCGTCGTTGTTACGTTGTTATGTCTTCTGTTACCCCCCCCCCCCCCCCCCCCCCCCCCCCNCCCCCCCCCCCCCCCCCCCTCCTGTCGCCCCGCGGTGATTGCCATCGGGGGCGGGTTTTCGTCACGTGGCAATGACGTTGTAGAACAAGCCAATCACTTGGTGAGCTCGGTAATCAGGTTACCACTTTTTTTCGCCTCTGGTTTTCTCTTTGTGGTAACCATGCTGATGATCGAGTATGTTTTGTTGTGCGAGGTCGAGAACCCTCACTCCGCGCGAAGGGGATGATCTCACCACGTTGTGTTAAAGATGGTCAAGCATCCTCGAGGCGGGCGGTTACACAGTGCTTATAACTGTCTCTGGAAGTGGAAGCACCAGAAAATAAGTTAAGTCATACGCAGCTGTCATCCGCACGCAAGGAAGTAAGCACAAGATGCCGAACACCCTTGGAAGGATGCAGCGCACCCTTTATGCGACTCGCCGAATACCTTACGGTACTTCGCGCTTGGTGATGTGAGAGCCTGGTCCGGTGAGAACCCGGCCTGCTCCGTCCCGGCTTTGTAGGGATGCGAGGTCAATGG